AAAATATTTTTTTGTGATACAAAATGTTACATATAACAGCAGAGAAAATCAACGTGCACAGAAGTTTTACTTGCAATGTTCACATTAGAATATAGAATCCCACGTGAGGGGAGAGCGCGACTGGAGTCACACGAGTTTGTTTTCTCTGCATACTTCCTAGGTGCGTTGCTCTGGCTGCTGCAGTCAGACATGCTGCAGTTAATGAAACTTGCTTGGGTTGCAGCCTCCTCATTTGCTGAAGAAGCTCTGCTGTGGCGCGTTAGCTCAGATTTCATTTTCTAATTTTCTTCAGCCTGGTGTCCGCCAGGAAGGGACATGGTGACGGGTTGCCTAGTGAGGGGAAGCTGGGTTCTGCATGACGAGGCACCTGAGCTTGAGGCATCACTACCCAGTTCTCTGGAAGAGTCCACGTTCTTCTACACCTTAGAATCTCATCTTTTGATGAGTTGGAGCCTGTTGATAGGTTTCTGGCAGGCGCAGCCACACCTGTGGCCCTGTACGCACTGCTGTGACTGCCTCTGCCCTTGCAGCGTGTGTGGCCACGAAGAATTACTTCTATCTTTAATGTATCTATTCCACTCTTGATGTTGCACTGAGCCACCAGGGGCGGCACACAGACAGAGGGCGTGCTGTGCTCCGCAGCACATGCTCTATTTTGGGGTCCTGGTGTACTGACTTTATTCAATTTTCACATGTCATAAAACTTGCCTTTTTTTGAGCTTTATTCAACCATTAAATGATATAAACCTGCTCAGAGTTCACTGGTCATACAAAAATCAGACAATTTTGAATTTCCTTTTGCATTATTTTTGTCCTTTCTGATTTGTTTGGAAGCCATAAGCTGTATTAATTTAGTGGTACCTTTTAACTTTAAAAAACACTCATGCTAAATCTTATGACTACCCCCTGAAAAAATTCATGGAAATATAATTAGAAAATGAGGCGGCTTGGCTATAGGAAAACTGAAATTTGTGCATATTTTTCATAAGGTTTGTTTTTCACAAATTGCATGCTGAATTTTGAGATTTTGCACCAAATTCTTTTTCTTTCATTCAATTTTTTCATGAACTTTTTGTCACTCCCTTGTATGTTTTACAGGTTTCATTAGCAAGGCTAAGCCAAGGGCTACACTCACCATTAGCTGTCAGTAGATGCTTTGTTGGCAGGTCTCTGCTCTCAGCAGGTGCATCAGCAAAGGTCCTCTTCATCCTGATTCTGCTCTAGCTGACCTCAAGTGAAGCTCAGGTAGGCTCATCTCAGCTGCTGGGTCTGCAACCCAGCTCTATGCGCTTGCTCATCATGTGCGAAAGCGTTCCTAAAACACTTAGCATGGTCATCTGCAAACTGGACCTCTCCATTGCTCCAAGCGGGTTGGCAGGGCCTGTCAGTCTGCCTTGTCTGACTGTGGCCATTCCATCAGGCTGTGGGGGAGCTTTGAGCTTGCTGCATGAATGAGTCCCTGTGAAATCTGAGCCTGGAGTGGGACTTCTATGGACAGGTGGTCAGACTGGAAACTCCTCTTATCAGCTACCTGGAAATGAATGGCCTTTTCCTGCTATAGATTTCATTTTAACTTTGCTCCTGGAATAACTGCATATATACAAGAGACCCTCAAAACCTTCATGGAAAGTGGAATTAAAGAATAAACTCTTTCTTGGTGCAAGTGGCTTTTGAGATTCGTGCGTCACTGTTTCCTAACCTGTGTCCCCATGCGCCTTTGGAAGCACCATAGTTCTCGGGTTTCAGAACTGCTTTTGCACCACAATAAATGTATTTAAAATTCCATCTTCTGTGGCTTTTTTGAAGGCCTCCTGGGTGGCTTTGGATATAAACACTCAATGTCTGACTCTAAAGAAAATATTCCTGCCAATGGTGAAAAATAAGTTTCTTTTTAAAAATTTTGCTATTTATCTTTCATTTCCCTCATTTCTCTCAAATATTATACTTATTATCCAGGATATTACAGATAGAAATTAAGGAATAATGAATGAAAAGAAAAAAAAAGACATAGGACAACAGATCTAAGAATCGCATAAGGGGTCAGTCTTATGCATTCCCATGCCTTTCCTGGTATTTGCTTACCCGCTACAGCATGTAAATGCCATGCCAATAAAAAAAGAGAGATGATCTACTATTTCTGGCCAAAAAGGCAGAAATAAATCCTGGGAGGTGATGTGAACGTGGCAGGGGTCCGTGTACTCTGGCACTCAGGATTACACGAACCCGCACCTGTCCACAGTTCTCCCATCAGGGTCCTCTCCTCCCCCAGCTGCCCTCAGGCTGCACAGCCCAGCAAAAGGCAGGTGGTTTGGGTCAGGCGGAAGTTAATGCGTGCCCAAGGCAGACCCAAACTGCTGGGGCGTGAAGCGGAGCGTGGAAGGCCAGGCCAGGGGAGGGGCCTGGTAACACAGGAGGCAGGAAGAGGGACCTGTGCAGCCTAGATCCTCTCCAGTGCGGGAAGTGCAAAGAATGACCCCAACCCTGTCCTTCATTCTTCCTGCCTCCCTGGATGCCAGGCCCTGTCCTGAACCTGACTGAGGGGATTAGGACTCAGATAAAGGAACCCGTGTCCTGGAAACGGGCTGGCAACACCGGGGAGGGGGTGGCGGGAATGACTGCAGACAGCCCTGCTCACCTGCATCCCACCGGGGGTGCCTCACACTCGGCGTGTGCATCACACTGCGACCACGCGGGACTGGCAGGTTGTGCTGGTGCTTATGTTGCCAGTGAAACTCATCAGGACCAACCCATGCTCATTGGTCCTTCCGTCACCTTCTCCTGTGGGTTCTTCTGGCTCCCATCACAGGAGACTCGGAGCTGCTGGCAGTGGAGGCACGTATGGCGCAGGAGGGTGCAACTGCAATTCATTCATCGCACTGCCGTGAGCTGCCAGCCTGGCAGTGCAGGTGTTACCATGACAGACAGGCAGGGGTGTGTTTCAGATACCCATATTACTGGTTTAGTAATTGAAATAATCACTATATTGTTTCCCTGTGTGAAAAATGCCATTTGATCAAAGTAGATAGACTTTAGGGAAAAAAAAATAAAGATTAAAAGTTGGTTAATATCCCTATACAACATCACCAAATGCAAAATGTTATAGTCACCATGAATAAAACAGGTTGGTCGTGTAATCAAAGTGGAAAGCATGGTGCTGAAATCCAGTGACGGCTTTACAGAGCGTTGCTGCGTGAACGCTAATTCAGCATGGACTCTTCCCACCTGGGACTCCCGGTGGCCAGCAGGACCGTGCGGAGACCACAGGTACTTCATTCATTCACTGGCACATTACCACCGACTTCTGGAAGCTTCTCAGCGTTACCTTACCAGGCTGTGTGTGCTCTCCCTCACAGCTGGACACTTGCCTGGCATGCTGTCCCAGGCCAGTCACATCACACACAAGGACACTTCTGCTAAAGCTGCCCGAACACTTCAAAACTGAGCTTTTGTCAGCAGCACAATTGCCAGCGCCCTGAAGGGCCAGAGCAGAGTCGGAGCCTGAGCATCACATAGAATTCCAAGCCTGCCCGCTTGCCACACTGCCCCGAGCTGACCACGATCGGCCCTTCTGTTGTCCACCTGCTGGGGCCTGCGGTCAAGTTTGCTGATTTGACTGAACCCCCCCCCCCAAAAAAAGTACTTAACCATAAAGTGATGACAAGTTGATTGGATCTTTTTACTTGTCTTGCACTCAGAGGTTTTTTTGCTCTGAGAAAAGAATTCTTAGGGGAAACGAGCCAGAAACTGCCTGCCCGTGGCGACAGTGGCCTGCATTCCTCCTGCCTCGCCCCAAGGCACACAGCTGGGCACTCGGCAGGCGACAGAGAAGGGGCGGGCTCTGCTGGACCTCCCTCTGGCCCCACTGACTTGCAAACATCACTTTCAGCCACGCTAGTCTCAAAAAGAGTTCCTTTATTTGATCAGGATGGTATTACTGATGCTTTAGCTGTGAAGGAATAAACAACTTTAAACGTCGAAAGGTAATTGCTAGGCAAACAACCGCCGAGCTGAAAAATCTCTTTAACAACATTTTCCCTGAGTCTTTACAAAAAGAAACAGTTGCAGTGAGAAAGGCACAGCAGCCAGACTTCCGCAGGCGCCAGCTGACACTGCCTGTGGGCATGTGTTCCCGAAAGCGTCACCGGCCGGTCGTACATTGTATTTTCCCGTTGTCGAGACGCTTCTCTTTTCAGGCTCCCCGAAATGCAGTCCATGCCGAGGCGGTGGAAGGATTCAGCACGCAACAGGTGTAGACGAGCCCACGTGACTGCACACTCGCCCTCCCGGCTCCCTTGTAAGCTGTGAAACTTACTTCCTCCTGGCTTCCTTTCATTGCATTTCCACTTGGAGAAGCCCCCCCTCTCCTGGGAGACTGTAGTGTGGGCTTGGTCAGCCAGCGTGGTGACCCTACAAACCAGTCCCACGCCCACCCTGGCCTGGCAGGTGGCACGAACCGCGGACACTGGTGTGCAGCGGTTCAGGTGGGTGTTCATCCCAGCCCTTGGCAGTTCTACTCACACTCCTGGGTGTGTGTGTGTCTTCCCATCTCTCCCCCATGGTCTCCCACAATCCTAGCTTGATCATGACCACTGCTAGGGAACACACAGGAACAAGCACAGCGCTCGACCCAATGGATAGTTTTGGGGAGGGAGGGGTCACTAAGGAAAACCAGGGCTCAGCGGGAGACGGATTTGCCCAAAGCCCCAGTGTGACCCGGGTTCATTGCATCTCCGCTCCTCGGCGCACTCTAGGTGAGAGAAGAGGAAACTCAGGCCCCGGCGCAGCAGCCCTGGGAGCCTGCGGCGGCTTCCCGGGTTCGAGAAGGCCTTGCGCCTGCGCTGGGCGCCAGTCTGCGCTCTGGCATCCACCGTCCCCGGCCTAACGCAAGGCTCTGGGCGTGGGCGCGGCTCCCCGGGAAACCCGGTTGCCTTTTGTGCCAGAGTCCAGAAGAACCGGAGGAGCCCGAGGCTGCTAACGCGGCTCCCTGGGCGCGGGGTGAGTTAGGGGTGAGTACGCGGCAGGTGGGCTGCCTGGTTCCAGGTCTTCCCCAAAGAAAAGTCGCCTTCCAGATCTCCGGGAAAGGCAGCAAAACCTCCGGCCAGAACGCCCATGGTCGAGGCGAAGCTGGAAAAGCAGGCTGCGGCCTCGGGCGTGGGCGGAGACGGCGAGGCCTGTGGGTCCGGGGCGACGGCAGGGTTCCCGGTCCCCGCCGGCGCGGCCGCTCCAGCCTCTCCTCGCCGCTTCCTCTTCCTCCTAAAGTTTCCATTGTCAAACATCTTTTCGCATTTGGGGTCCAGGGTCCAGTAATTGCCTTTGCCTGCAGAGAAAGGAGAAGCCCAGTTTAGGGATTCTATAGCGGCAATGACGAGGTGGGGACCCCACAGCCCGCCCTGTCCCCCAGGAGTGTCAAGAGCTCGTGCCCCTGTCAGCTTCCAAGGGGACTCTGGTACCCCGGGCAGACCTCCGTAACCAGGCTGGGAAGAAACTGCAGGATCAAAGAAGAATGAGGAATACCCTGTACCCCTCAAGTTCAGGCCCGCAGCGAGGGATGGGGAGCAGAAGTGCGTGGCTCTGCCTGGGCTCCACGGAGGCTCCAGCGCTTGCCCTGAGAAGCCCACCTACCTGTCTTACCAACCTACACTGTATGGACACTGGGCCTCGAGGTCTCTCGAGGCCACCCGGCAAGGGGGCGCGCAGACGTTCACCGGGTACTGAGCTGCCCAGGGGGACCCCCAAGCCTGAGTGCTGGCCGCCGGGAACGCCGCGCGGATTCCTGGACGGGACCGGAGGGAATGGGCGCGCGCTGCAGTACCTGGATCGTCCTGGCTCCGCGGCACCTTCTTGAAGCAGTCGTTGAGCGACAGGTTGTGGCGGATGGAGTTCTGCCAGTCCGCACGGCTGTGCTTGTAGAAGGGGAAGTTGCCCGCCACGTACTGGTAGATCTGGCTGAGCGTCAGCTTCCGCAGCGGCGCGCTCTGGATGGCCATGGCGATGAGCGCAGAATAAGAGTAGGGCGGCCGCACGAGCTGCAGCAGCTCCTGCTGGCCGGAGAGGCTCAGCCACGCGAGGTCGGCGCCCGCCAGACCTCCGGGGGCACCAAGTAGCGGGTCTCCGGCCGCGTAGCGCGGGGCCGCGAAGGGCACCGCTGGGCCCGGCCCCGACGTGTGGGGAGCCTGGCTGAGCGCCGGGTTCACCCACAGGCCTGGGCCGCCTCCGGCTGCGCCCAGATCACCGCACGGGTAGCTTTGAGGATGCGCTGTGGCCGAGACTTGGTGGTGCGGGGCCGAGTAGGCGCCCAGACTGTCGCAGTACGCAGCCATGTCCGGCCTCTCCCAAGCCTGAGCCGGAGGTTGGACACTAAAGCTCACGGGCTCCCCATCCGCCCTGGCTGCCAGCCCCACTCTCCTCCTTTAAAATGCCGTCGGGCCGGATCCCAGGGTGAGCGTCTCCGGGCAGTGTCCCCCCACCCCCACCACCCTTGGAGAGGCAGACTCCCGACCCCGCCCTGGGGTCAGCTTTCTGCCCTCGCCTAGTCCTGATGCACACCTTAAAGCAACGCTCCTAAAATTCCCAGCGGGTTTCCAGCGTCCTTTTCAGCTTTAGCTGCGAGGGCTCTGAGCCCCCAGGCATCCCACAGATCCTGGCTTGCTGGGATTGTGCCCTGGACCCTAGGGCAGGTACCAAGTCTCCGCAAAACCCCTAGGCTATGGCCCTGACCCCTGCGATCCCGAGCAAGCACGAAAAGCAGGGCCATTAGCCGCTGCCCTGTGCAAAACCCAGCCGCCCGCCCTTCCTCTGTTGCGGTAGTCCTGGCTGCTCTTCTGTCCGTGCCGGCCTGGGTGCCTGGGGAGACCCCCACCGCCTGCACAAGAGGCAGAAATTGTCTCCTGGAGACCAAGGTTGAGAGAAGAGAAGGCCCCACCTGCAGGCAAGCTTGAGCCCCCGGGCTCAGCCGGCAGTACCGGCACCACCTCCTCCTGGACACTCCACTTTAGGATTACTTGGGTCTGTGAATCATCAAAACAAATTAATTTCAATTCATTAAAAAAATAATATGGGGCTGGCGTTGTGCTGTAGGAGTTTAGCTGCAGCAGTTGCATCTGATATGTGCGCAGGCTGGAGTTCTGGTCCAGCTCCCTGCTAATGTGCCTGGAGAAGCAGAAGATGGCCAAGTGCTTGGGAGAGCTGGAGGCTCCTGGCCGTTGTGGCCATTTGGGGAGTGAACCGGTAGATGGTAGATCCTCCACTCCCAATACACACCCAGTGACTTGATTTTCTGCAAATATATATACTTTTTAATACATAAAAATAAGAGGCTCCACCTGCTCAGTTTATTGGAGGAAAAGACTCTAAGTTGAAGAAAGCTGGGCTGGCAGTTGACTGTAGGAGGACATTGTGACCCGAGAAGGTAAGCGCACAGGACTACAGTTCATTGGACAATATTTGCATGAGAACAACCGAAGGGCTGCCTTTTGTATACCTGATGGCAGATCATTTGTATAAGAAGAGTTGAGTGGAAAGCATGTGTGTGAGAACACCTGGTGGAATATACAAGACAAAAGGAGTTCCAAACAAAAGCATAGAAACAGTTGATGGGTTTCATGGTTAAGCTCAATACTTCTCTCTTAACCCATATGACCCTCAGTGTATAAAGTCTGAGGCCACTAATAAACTTCGGCTATTGATCCTCAGTCAGTAGTCCATGCGTGTTATTATCGGCTCTGTGCACCAAGTCCATCGCTGCAGGACAGTGACAGTTGAAGGCTGGTTGGAGTCAACCCTGGTGGTACTGCAGCCTGAGGCCTCCCCGGCCATAGTAGGTTGTCACCTGGGAAGCAGCCACATGGGGCAGAGGGAAGGGAGAGGCCTGTGTGCTTGGAAGGAGCGGCCTTTAGACACTTCTAGGCAGACTGAGGCCTGGTCCACTCACACTCCCTTCCCTTCTGCTTCCCCAGATTCCTCACTGCGTCAAAGGAATGCAGGTGGCGAGGCTCCTGGTGCCTTGCGGGTGGCGCCTGCCCTACCCTCATCACTGCAGAAGCGGGATGAGCGTTGGTGCAGTGGATGCAGCGTATGCTCCCAAGTGCCCGGGTTTCATCAAGAACAGCAAAGTCTCATTCCTGTGGCAAGCAGGTGTTCCTGTACGCATCCACCACTACCTCTTTTCTGTTTTCAAATGTTTCTTTTTCATGACACAAGCTTCGTGGGCTCAGGGATTCCCCTGTTCTCGCCCCACTGTTTCCCCCTATATTATAATAGTTTCAACAGTCACAAGTCCGTCATTCTATTTATGTGTATCATGACATTGTACGGTATAGATAATCGGTCGGTATGTCGACATATACTTGTTGCATGATTCAAATTGAAACCCATGATAACTCACTGAACTGTTATGGGATATAAAGTCTGAGAATACGGTGAGAAATTGACCATCTTGAAATTACAAGAACCCCAGCTGCAGGCAACTGCCTAGGTTACCTTGCACTAGGCAAGTGTTACACAGCTGGGAGAAAAGCAGCCAATAGCAGGTATGCATTCTGAGCCTGGTCTTGGTGGAGTGACAGGGGGATCTGGGATGAGGGATTAGATGTCCCCCCATCAGCTGCACTGCCTGGGTTTCTGAGCTGCTCAGGTCATCCCTCACAACACAAAGGAAATAGGACAGTTCCTCCCAGATTCACTGTAAGCATCTGTCTGCAGGCGCTGCAGCTGTGTATCATGGGTGAGTTTCGGGACCTCCAAGAACATGAAGTGATTCTTCATGCAATCCTTGCTTCACTTCTTACAATCGTCACCACTCATGCCCACACTTGTCCCCAGTTTCCTCGTCCTTTGCTCTCCGAGCCTGGTGTGTATCTGTCACCCTCACTAAGAGCTTTCCTATCTCTAAGACGACTGGATGGAGTTCACCAGTGGGGGAGGAAGGGGACTCCTGACACTTGAGTTAGTCTTGGGTGGAACTCTGATGAGAGGTTTTCTAACAGGGAAAGACAACACTTTAAAAAAAAATGTTTGACTTATTTTAATCAGAATTCAAGTTAGAACAACAGAAGATAATGTGAGGACCAAGGAGAGTGAGAGTGAGAGCAACATGCAGGGCTGCGCCCAGTTGAAGCCAGAAGCCTAGAATTCCACCTAGGTGTTCCACTTGGGTGCCAAGGGCCCAAGTACTTGAGACGTCATCCACTGCCTCCTATGATGCATTAGCAGGGAGCTGGCTCAGAGGTGGAGATGCCAGGACTCGAACTTGGGCACCCAAACATGGAGGCAGTGGTTGCTGCAATATGGAATGTGGACTCAAGGGGCAGCCGATCCCCTGTACCACAGCACCTGCTGCTAGGGAGAAGGAAACGAAGAGCCTGGGATTCCTGCAGGCTCCTCTAACAGAACAGGCCTCTCTGCCCTGTGGGCCTTGACGCACACCCTCTGTTCTCAAGGTGACTTTGAGGCGAAACCTACCTGGCCCTCCACCACTAAGTGTGCAAGGCTAACACTCGCTCCCTGAGCAGTCACTTGCGCACAGATGCCATCTTTGCAGAGGTGCTCGTCTTCTTTGCTGAGCCAGAGGGCTGGGCTCCTGGCTGGAGTCTGCCTGTTTCCCAGGGCCTCTCTGTGGTCCTTCCCTCCCCAGGTCCTGCCCCCAGCCCGCACAGATCTCAGTTCCTGCCCCCTACAGAGTCTCAGCCCGTGTCCCTCAGCAGGTGCCTCTGTCTCTGCTTTTTCTTACCAGCTGGACTTCTGGAAGCCTGGCCTTTGGTGCCCGTGGTCCCTTGCTGCCCACAGAGGACCACCTCTTAGACGGGCACCCACACCTGTACCTTGAAGGACACTGCACCAGCTTTCACTCTTCATCTTGCTGGACTCAGCAGCTGTCGATGTACCATACCGTCTCTTCCCCGCCGCTTTTCTGGTTGAGCTCTTCCTGGGGCTGCTTGTCAGGCTCTGGATGGCCTGTGCTTGCTGGCTGGAGCTCTGTGGGGCTCTGTCTTGGGCCCTTCCCTCTTCCACTCCTGTGGTCTTGACTTTCACACATGGGTTCTGGACTCTTAGCCTGGGTGCTATAGGATTGTCAGTGGGATCTCCATGCACTGGATGTGGGTAACTAACCAAGTATCTTCAGGCAGTGCCAGCTATTCCTTAGGGAGCCGGGTCATCCCCAGTGGACAATTCCTGCACCAGCAAAGGATTCTGCATTGTTTGAATGGTCTGTTTGGAGCCTCTGAATCCATCATCCTTATCCTGTTTGTCCACAGAATCTCTTGGATGTCAGTGTCCTTCACCTCCCTCAAGTCACCCCCACATGTCGCCAGCGAGATTTCATAAAGCTGTGTCCCAGCCTCGACCGCTTGTGTGTACTCCACAACCCAGTCCTCCCTCCTGCCACCGTCTCCCATCCAGGTCAGTGCAGCAGCTTCGAAAACTTGTCTATATTCTCATCTTGTGTTTGAAAGATAAAGTGAGACATGTCTTCCATCGGCTGGTTGGCTTCCCAAATCCTGCAACAGCCAAGGTTAGAACCCTATTCAGGTCTCATATGTGGGCCAGTATCTGCTGCTCCTTCCCAGGCAGGTGCGTGTTAGTAGGAAGCTGACTCGGAGGAAGAACCAGGCACTCTGGTTCGGAACGTGAGCCTCCCAAGCAACGGCTTACTCACTGAGCCAGATGCCACCACAACATCCGCTTTAACTCAGCTTCACCTTGTCCCTCTCAGACAGTATCCACACCACAGCCAGACTGTTTTCCAACCCTGTACTGGACAGCATTCCAAAGACAAGCCACCAAGGGTCCCTGATTCTCAATCCAATACGAAAGTGAGGGGTGCTGGGGAAGTTTGCTCACAGGATCAAAATTCCACGTCACTTGACAAGATGTAGAAATTGTTCCCATGGGCCTGGCCCAATCTGAACTCGCTCACCTGGTAGCAGCAAAACTGGAGAAGGACTTGGCGTGTTGTTACTCATGAGGGCAAAGTGAGCAGTCCCTGGAGATTGGCATGGTTCTGAGCTGACAACTGGCAAGAAAACAGGCACTCCGCCCTACACCACAAGGAACTGAGTGCTCTTAGCAGCACCAATGACCTTGGAAGAGGTCCCAAGCTCCAGACGAGGACACCTGGGTTACTGCATGTGCAGAGAGCCTGGCCACACCTCACTGACCCAGAGAACCAAGCACTTGGAAGGTATTTTATGTTCAACTGCTGAGTGGGTAGTAACTTGTCACATAGTAATAGAAATCCAAAACTGAGTGAGACTGTGCCACTTGCTCATCCCGAAGCTCTGCTTTATACCGGAAGACTCTGGCTTCTCCAAGTGACTGAGCC